TTTGTGTTCAAAATGTAAGAAGTAGAAAGTACAGGTATTTGTGTTCAAAGTGTGAGAAGTAGAAAGTACAGGTATTTGTGTTCAACATGTAAGAAGTAGAAAGTACAGGTATTTGAGTTCAACATGTAAGAAGTAGAAAGTACAGGTATTTGTGTTCAACATGTGAGAAGTATAAAGTACAGGTATTTGTGTTCAACATGTAGAAGTAGAAAGTACAGGTATTTGTGTTCAACATGTAAGAAGTAGAAAGTACAGGTATTTGGGTTCAACATGTAAGAAGTAGAAAGTACAGGTATTTGGGTTCAACATGTAAGAAGTAGAAAGTACAGGTATTTGTGTTCAACATGTAAGAAGTAGAAAGTACAGGTATTTGTGTTCAACATGTGAGAAGTAGAAAGTACAGGTATTTGTGTTCAACATGTAAGAAGTAGAAAGTACAGGTATTTGTGTTCAACATGTGAGAAGTATAAAGTACAGGTATTTGAGTTCAACATGTAAGAAGTAGAAAGTACAGGTATTTGGGTTCAACATGTAAGAAGTAGAAAGTACAGGTATTTGTGTTCAACATGTAAGAAGTAGAAAGTACAGGTATTTGTGTTCAACATGTAAGAAGTAGAAAGTACAGGTATTTGTGTTCAAAGTGTGAGAAGTAGAAAGTCAGGTATTAAGTAGAAAGTACAGGTATTTGTGTTCAAAGTGTGAGAAGTAGAAAGTACAGGTATTTGTGTTCAACATGTAAGAAGTAGAAAGTACAGGTATTTGTGTTCAAAGTGTGAGAAGTAGAAAGTACAGGTATTTGTGTTCAACATGTAAGAAGTAGAAAGTACAGGTATTTGTGTTCAACATGTAAGAAGTAGAAAGTACAGGTATTTGTGTTCAAAGTGTGAGAAGTAGAAAGTACAGGTATTTGGGTTCAACATGTAAGAAGTAGAAAGTACAGGTATTTGTGTTCAAAGTGTGAGAAGTAGAAAGTACAGGTATTTGTGTTCAACATGTAAGAAGTAGAAAGTACAGGTATTTGTGTTCAAAGTGTGAGAAGTAGAAAATACAGGTATTTGAGTTCAACATGTAAGAAGTAGAAAGTACAGGTATTTGAGTTCAACATGTGAGAAGTAGAAAATACAGGTATTTGAGTTCAACATGTAAGAAGTAAAAGTAAAAAGTCATAAGAAAAGTAAGTAGTGGAGTAAAGTACTGATACCAAATACTTAAGTATAGTTACGAAGTATTTGTACTCCACTACTTCCCACCTCTGGTTGTTAGTGGGATGTTTACCTGAGCTCTCGGCCAGGTTGAAGGCTTTGCTCTCCTTGAAGGACGACATCTCGTAGAAGACCTGGCAGTCCTTGGCGTGTTCGAAGCCGCTGAAGTGGACGCTCTTACAGTAGACCACGATGTCTGACAGCGCTTTGGCTAGTTTGATTTTGGATTTCTATAAAGAGACAGAAAGTGTCTCAGTTTAGTTGCAGAAAATACATATATTTGAACATATATTTGATCTGTGTGTGTACTTATTTAAATACGAACGCTCTGGTCGTGGCCCAAAATTACAAATTGTACACAAAGAATATACAAAGAATTCCATATAAGCTACATATATTCCTTTTTGAATGTACTTCAAGTTAGTAAAAAACATTTCTCTCACCTTTGATTTAGATTTATGTCCGTTCTCTTTACAGTCTGCAGCCTCGTCCTCCTCAGACACGGTTTCTTCTTCTATGGTGCTGTTGTTGTTGTTGAGCGCAGCATCCAGTTTGTTTAATCGCTTTCCCTTAATGAGGAACTTGCCCTTCAGCCCCTGCACAGAAAACGGGTTTCAGTTACAATACTGGGAAGCTGTGTCTTATTTTCCAGGGCAACATGTGTTATTGATTGCTTCTGATTAAGCACCCTAGGCAGTAAATGACAAAGTAAAAAATGTTTTGAAATCCTTAATTATAGCATATTTTGAGGTCACATGAAAATCATCCCATGGGTGCAAGAAATACACATGGCTTGGGAATGTAAATTCATATTTTCACGCCTCTCTTTCTTTCTTTTCTAGTACTAAATACGTCATGCATATTATCAGAGCTTATGTATGAAGCGGAAAGTTTATAAGGCGATTAGCATCGAACAATAAACCTTGTTAGTAGCAGAAAACGACCAAAATGATTATAATGCTTGCCCCTGGTCACATACAAACACACTCCACTTTGCCACCGGCTTCTCTTCTCAAACAAAGTGTTCTCTCACACAATGCAAAGTCTCAAATCTTGTGACAATCTGTTGGTTAATGAACAGCTAATCTCTGAGCTCAGGCGAGATAATCAAGTGCAAAACTCTAGATTGTGTGTATCAACACTTGTCGGAGGAGCAGAGGCTTTGATTTGCTTTCATGTGGCGCTCACTTCATTCCCAGACAAATCTAATGGTCACGTTAGAGTAAACAGGACAGTGAGGTGGATCATTAACTTAAGAGAAAGGATTTGTAGGTGTTTGTTTGTTAGTGGCTGTGAATGTTCAAATAGAGATCAGAGTAGCTAACACACCTCAGGTGAGGGGAAGTCGGAGAGCGTGGTGTTTCCCACAGGCTTCGTGAGCAGAGCCTCTCCCAGGATGGAGATCAGGTGATGGGCCATGAGCTTCTGCTGGTCCACGCTGCAGTGGTTCTCCAGGGACAGGATCACCGGGTAGTCAGAGGTCTGGAGGAACGAAGGAAACAATCATTCAGTCATGCATCCAACTTTAAAGAGGCCCTATAATGCTTTGTGGAGTTTTCCCTTTCCTGAGTTGTGATTTGTGTGCATGTAATTGGTCTGCAAAGGCTAAAATCCAAAGTTACATTACATGTTAGACGCTTTTATCCAAAGGACTACATACTCAATATGTGGACAATCCCCACAGGAGCACTTTGGGGTGAAGTGTCTCAGGGACACAACGACATGCTGACTGCAGTGGGGTTTGAACCTGTGACCCACTGATCCCAACACCTACGCACAACCCACTGCGCCACACACCTCCGAGTTCCCTGCAGAGGGAGTTTCTCTCGCCTCGATTGGACTCCTTTGTTTACGTTTTGAATATTGTGACATCGCTATGTAACACACACGCTTCGATTGGCTAGCACTCCAACACATTGTGCTAATTACTAATGCAGTATGAACCTGAAAATGTCCCCTTTAAATGTCTGGCAATTGAATGCAACACATACTTTGAAGGCGTAGTCGTTGATGGCTTTGATGACGTCTCTGAAGAGCACTTTGGATGTGAGTGTGTATCCGTGGTAAATGACCGGCTCTCCGTTAGCCCCGTCCCAACAGTCCAGCTCCACGCAGCGGCAGCTCTTCATCAGCGCTCTGCAGGAGAAGAACACCTTCATAAAAACCTGCATTTTCTGTACAAATAAACCAAGATGGGGTAAAGCTGTTTCCATCCGTTATGTTAAAGTTACTTTATGTAGGCTTCTGTGCTGCTGGGCCCTTTGAGTTGGTCTTCCATCAGGTACGTGTTGTGTGACGATGAGATGTAGTAGTGGTTGAGGGGCTGACGCATGTCCTGATACACCTGTTTGTGTGCCGGGTTGAAGATGGAGCCCTCGTCCATGTGAAGGTACATCAGGAAGCCATCTTTGGACATGCGTTGGTTCTGCTTCGCTGGTGGACGAACGAAAGTCAGAAAGAACCATGAATATGTGGACATTTATCGCTCATAATGTTTAAAACCCCTCAAACACATTTGAAGAAATATGGAAAAAGTGGAGAATTTACATATCCCAAAGACGACTGTTTCTATACACCGATTGAATGTATGTATAGATGTGTATGTATGGTCACATGTATGTGTATTGAATGTATACTTAAGCAATAGCTCACGACAGGCCGTGGTATATGCTCATTATATCACAGCTAAGGGGCGTGGTTCGGCCCGACGCGAAGCGATGGTCGACATCAGAAAGCTTTTGAATGGTGGTACTTTTCCAGTTGGTCTACCTGCTCTTCACGCAGCTCTGCATGTTATCGTTTAGGTGCCTTCTGGAGATAGGCACTGCTCAATCCACTCCTCCATAGTAAGACCCCCCCGGAGGTCCAAGTTAATCTTAAATGTTTCCATTTTATGCTTTGTAAGTTTGTTTCGTAACGGAAGAAATGTAAATATATTTATAAAACTGACAAGTCAAATCAAGCAATCTGATTGGTCGATAGCGTTTTTGCGGACCTCTTTGATTACAGATTTGAAAACATCGTTGCTTGCTTTAAAAGTAGCACAATTCATTATGTCAAACCTTGGAGAGTATCTAGATATCCCTGCCCTAATGCTAAAGGAACTGCATTCTGAATATGTTTTGCCGTTTGATGTCTATGTCTGGACCGCTGCGTAAGTTAGACGGAGGGATACTGCTCGTTTGAAAAGTAACTTACAATTCTCCCGCGGTATACGCTCAGATATCACGGCTAAGAACCTGTTC